GGAAGCAATACAACGCACTTGACGCATTCCTTCGCGTTCAATTTTAATTTATAGTTTTGAGGTTTTTAGAACGTTTCCCAAATAGCCAAGCCAATTGTTGTTAACAGAGTAACACTTTTCTCGACATATGTTATACATAACCCCTGTTGATCAACTGTCTACTGCAAGTAATGTCATTCTACCCAAAGGTTGATCGCTCAGTTGTGCACAACATCCCACTGTCACGATAGGTATCCGGTAGATTCTTCTAAATCAGAAACAGAACAGATATGCTTACCGTCAGGCTCAATTCTTCCGGTTGTAAGTGAAAAAATCTGAACCTTCCGCGAAAGATCAACTCTACCGATGATCTTAAACATATTCTGTAGCAAAGTCACATTAGGAGGGCCAATTTTGTCATCTTTCTGTAGGGCATCAAACAACTGCAATCCACTTCCTGCGTTTTCAATTAGTCTAGAAGGAAGAAAGTCACCTGCAGCAAATTTTAACCCTTCCAGATCTTTGGCAGATAGTTCAATCGATAGCTCTATGAGCAATTTTCTGTATGAACTTACGCGGTATTCTTCTTGCGCCGACGCCATTTCTGTAGCAGTCTAAGTGACAACTACATTTTTCCGCTTTATGACGCTGCTTCCGATATTTTATTCCAAAAAGTTTCCTGTTCTCAGTTCTGGCAAACTCATTCCGAGAGTCTCTCCTCGTCCCGAGCTGTGGTGGGGGAAGAGAAAGGGATAGTTCATGTCTTTTGTTGCTTTCATAGTCATCACAATCAGTGTTAATATCATTATTATCATTATTATTTTGCCACACATTTAATAATCTTACATCGCTCCAACAGAAACATGCCCTTGCTTCAGGTGACAAACGCTGAGTTAGATTTGAAAACCATATCAGTTACGTATGAGTTGGTGGAGACCTTAAGGTAGTGACTGTCACGGGTGTTTACCTCAATTTGCATATTTTTCAACACTCCCACTTCACTCCAATCCGATAAGAAAATGTGTTCCACATCTGACAATCAAGGAAGCCGAACAATCGACGACAAATTCAAGAAAAATCTTCTTCGATCCCTAAACGAACTGAGGCAAGCTCGCATTCTTTGTGACGTATTCATTCGTGTTGACAAAACGTTAGAGTTTCCAGCTCACCGTTGTGTTTTGACTGCAGGCAGCGTTTATTTTAAAGCTCTGTTCTCGGATGATTTTCGTGAGAGAAGGAGCGGTGTGGTGGAGTTGGAAGGGATATATGACATGGACAAAGTCCTTGAATTTCTTTACACGGGTGAGGTGGAGATAAATGAATCCAGTGCACAAGATTTAGTCATGGCTGCCGATTACCTGAATATTCCAGCCTTAAAATTACACGCTGCTTTCGTGTTAGAGAAGTCCATCAACGTGTCAAATTGTCTCTCCCTACAGACGTTTTCTACTCGGTTCGACTGTGCTCTGTTAAAAGAATCGTGCACCTTCTTCATAAATCAAAACTATCCTCTTGTAACAAAATCGGACGCGTTCAAAGAATTGAGTTTCGAGGCACTGATTGAGTAACTTAAGACTGACGAGCTTAATGTTGATGACGAAAGCGAAGTGCTCTGTTCTGCGCTCTCCTGGATTAAGTACGACCTTCATTCGAGGGAGAAACGCCTTCTCGAAGTCCTAAAACATGTTCGGTTTCCGCTCATTCGCAAGAACTATTTAATCAACATTGTTAAGAATGATATGTTGCTTCGAAGTAACGCAGTCGAAGTGAACATGTTACTGAAAACGATCAAACAAACATCCTCGGCCGCCGAGAAATTTCGAGAGTTGCATGTACCAAGAACTGGACCTCTCGAGACAGTGGTAACACTGACAGGAGAAAGATTAGTTTCCAAGTATGGCTCAAACAACAATATTTTGGCGTACGTTCCGTTGCGTGACTCATGGGTAACATTATCTGATCTTCATCTCCCACGTCACGGTCACGGTGCGGCTGTCTGCCAGGGTTCTTTGTACTTAGTGGGAGGGGTAAGTGAAAACGTCTCTGCTCCTTCCCACATGTGTCGATTTAGCCCCCTCAGGAATAAATGGTGCTGCGATGTGGCGGACCTTCCTCGCCCAGTCTCATTTGCTGCTGTTGTATCATTAGATAACAAGTTGTTTGTTATCGGTGGAAAAGACTGCTGCAATACGGCTCTTCGTAAAACACAACGTTACAACCCTGAGCGTAATCAGTGGGATTATATCGCAGACTTAAACGTACCACGTGTCAGCCACTGTGCAACAGTGTTGGATGATTTTATCTACGTCATCAGCGGCGACAAAGCGAATTTTAAAAGCTGCGAAAGATATGACTCAACGGTAATGAGATGGAGACTTCTTCCACACATGACCACGTCACGCCAGCAACCTGCAGTTCATGCACTTGGAAGGAAAATATTGGTGGTTGGCGGTTACTCTGGTTCAAATTACAGAATGCACACGACCTGCGAGGTCTTTGACCCTAAGAAGTACCTGTGGAGCCTGGTACCTGGACTTGGTGTACCACGTGCGGGATGCGGGATCACGTGTATGGCAGATCAAGTGTATGTATTTGGCGGGTCGAATGGCCGCTCCATCTTGAACACGTTAGACAGTGTAGAGTGTTACAGCGAAGAGGACAAGGACTGGAGAAAGGTCACGGTTATACCAGAGGCTATAGTCGCCCCTCAAGTGGCTATGCTTAGAATGCCTACAAAATATCTAACATGAAGTTATTTTAAAACGAGATTGAAGCCTTAGAATTGAAAAAAGAAATTGAACGGGTTATAACAAAGACACAGACCAATTTTAGAATGTTTTCTCGATTTTCATCTCCATTCTCCTTTCCTTTAAAGTTTCCAAAACTATGAACAATTATCCTTAGACTACTGTAAGTCATTGGAGTGAATAACACAAGGGGTATTTCAAATGCTACTTCAAAGCAGTGCGAACATTTACTAACTGCACGTACAGTGGATGAACGATTTACCGCCTACAGCGGTTCAGGGTCCCTGTAATTTTGCAAATTTATTGTACATTGGGCCTATGCTAACCATAGCAATATTCTTGGGACATTCCGTTGGACGCAAATATAGAAGTTTAAGACTACAGAAAAAGACAATAAAATAGAATAGTGTCGGCTGTACATTTATTTACAACTCTACAAAAAAAGGTACTTAGTATTCGTTCTGAAATTAGCTACTACCGTAGACAGAACGGTCGGTTCTTATATGATTGGATAAGCAACAGTAATTATGGTTATCACATTTCAATATTATCACAGTTTGAAGTGTTTTATGGTGACCTTTAAGAACCTCATAAGAGTGATCGACGATCCCTTCCTTGACTTTTATTATCACAATTTATTTTCCTTCGCAGCATAAAGGAAGGCTAATTTGATATCCTGCTCAAGTTTTGAAGTAGAAAAATTAAATGGCTGTAGCTTGACATGCTTGGTTGAAAAAAAATGCCATTCTGTTTTTAGTGTAATAGGAAAAAATCCGAGCCCCAGATGGGACTTGAACCCACGACCCTCCGTGATCTAGTCGGATGCTCTAACCACTGAGCTACTGGAGACTCTATGGTGTCAATTTCCTGTTTTGGACAGGAAATTGAAGTGATGAGATCTGGAACATGTAACATCACAATGTGATATCTCTGTGATATGTTTTCAATTGCTGTTTAAAAGTGTAACTCACGGGGTAGTTCAGTTCTTTAAACGGTGTGTTAGAACTCTGAGTTATGCATCCGGGTTTTCCTACAAATTGGGTCGGGTTCATTTGCAGTTTATTTCCAAAGTTGGCATGACCAGTCCTTTGTAAAAACGAGGAGGATTCTGTGGTGTCCTGTGGACATCCGGGACTATACACAGTGGTCAGGTGACCGAGAGAGTGTACGTGTATGTGACAAAGAGCGGGAGTTAGAAGGGTGACGGTGTGCTGTTCGAGTTATTGACCTTAGTGGCTTCTAGGAATATTAGAGATTCATTTTCACTTCTCTCTTTCCTAAACTTCTTGTACATACAAAATCGATCAGTGGCCTTCAGAGTCCAAATCTGTACGGCGTGCGGCGTGGATTTGCAAGTGTTTTACGTCCTGGCGTTGCGATATGTGTTCTGTATTTGTAAAAGAAACCAAATAAAAAGATTTATCATACAAATTTTGGTCAGCTAGAGAACATTGTATAATTGTGGCCTATTCTAGCGATCTATAGATGCAGACAGATAGAAAGTTCATGGTGTAGATTTACTTTACTGAAGGAGTTAGTTTGGGGAGCTTTTCCTCTTCTCGCGCTTTCATCTGCGCTCTGGCGGCCGCCATTTCTTCTTCCAAAGCCGATAAGTCTTCTTTGGCACGCTTTCCTTACTCCTAGACGACAAAAAGATGGCGAAGAGACGCTGTCAGAACCTTAATTAATGATATATGTTACCACTATGCAAACACCTTGTCGACAATGAAGAAATGCAGCGTTTCCTTGATAGTATAGAGACCGAATAATCTCAGAAAAGCGTTGGACGCAATAGTAGGTACGGTGGAACCAACCTCAATCGGAAACCAAGAAAAGTGGACAATTGAAAATTATGCACCCCCGATAGAATACTCTGAGAGTGGCTTGATTATAAAGGAAACAAAAGTTTATCTTTGATTGATTTTGGGGGGCCTGACCCCCCT